GTGTTGTGTGTCTATCTGTGTGTGTGTGTGTCAGTGTTGTGTGTGTCAGTGTTGTGTGTCTATCTGTGTGTGTGTGTGTCAGTGTTGTGTGTCTATCTGTGTGTGTGTGTCAGTGTTGTGCGTGTGTATCTGTGTGTGACGACAGCAGGCAGACACACTCACCCTCAGCCCCGATGGACACCAGCTTGACCCCCTTGCTGGCGATGAAGTCCAGGGCCTTGTTGACGTTGTTGATCTTGTGCACCCTCATCTTGCCCCTCTCCGGCTTGGGCAGCCGCTCGCCTGCAGGGGCACAGAGAGCGAGACTCCGGGCTCAGACGGCCGCAATCCGGGAGAGCCAGCTCCAGGGGGAGCGCTCCCATTGGGAAGGCTGGGTTTTCAGTTTCCTGAGAAATGACAGTCACCCCTGCCCCAGCGCGCAGGTGCTTCCAGGCTAATTCACTAACCACCTGCAGCAGCCCCATTCTTCACCGCCTGGACAACCGTGAGCCGTTCAATCCATTAACACCACAGACAGAGATCTGGACTGCAGGACGAAAGCTGGGCTTGAGATGACCACAGTGGTCATCAGTCAAACGCTGAGAAGGGGCAGGGGGCAATCAAAAGACAAGGGGCACACTGATCTCGCCCTTGTTTCCCCAAAGGGGCAAAAGCCCCTTCCCAGCAAGCCACCCCAGCCGGGGTGGGGAGGGGCGTCTCACCTGAAATGACCTCCAGCAGCAGCATGAGCTTCAGCCCGTCCCTGAAGTCCTCCTCGATGTTCTCGATCTGAGTCCCGGCCTTGCGCAGGTGGGAGTTACACCAGGCTGTGAAGGTCTGGGCACAGAGACAGGGGGGGGGACAGATTAAAATCCTGGGACACGCTAACGGGCTCGTCACTCCATGTCCTTCCCAGCGGGTTAGAGAGGAGCTGCAGTTTCTCAGAGCGCTTATGGAATCTCGGAATCAAAATCAATTCGCTGACGTTGGGGAAAAAAATGTACAAATTTGGAATTAAGAACCTTGTGCAGGTACTGTAAGTCAGCATGTTGTCACAAACCTGCAGGCGAGGTCCCACAGCCTGAGACGCGACACGGCCCTTTCTGCTCACCCTAATAACTGCTGGAACGTGATGGACGAGCGAATGAGTGTGGGGTGTGTAGCCGTATTTGTCAGCAATACCGTTTTAAAATCGAGAGCGATATTTCTTTCGGATTAAGAGAGATGCGTTCAGAAATCTCGTCAGTAATAAGGCTGCAACACGACAGCGCGAGTTCTGCCTGTGAATCCGAACAAGGCGACAATGCAATATAGCGATGTGCAGACCTGGAAATGTCCTCTATTTCGTGATGGAAATTGGAGGTTTTACAAGCTACTGTGCACAGTTTACTTTTACTGGGGCTTGAAATGCACTCCTGATGCTCACCCCAAAATGTAAAAATGGCACTGCAGTTCCCCTTAATCAACCAACAGTTCCGGAAACCTCCAGTCTTCTCCACCCGAGCCTCGTGACTGTGCACCCAGAGGGAGGGGGCCACGAGCAACACCCCCGACAGAGTGGCACGCATTCGAGAGCGGCGGGCTGGAAACTCGAGGCAAGCGCCGCCTTTGGCTGAGCTCTTGGGGGCGCAGTGGACAGACAGGCAGGCGGGCTGCGCCCCCTCCCACCACGCGCTCCATGTCCTGCCCCGATCGCTCCGCCGGCACATAAACGGAAACTTCAAGAACACGAGGACATCAACTTAAACCCACGCAGCGCCGCGCTATCGCCCCGGGCGTCGGGACTCCCCAGGAAATCTAAAACCACATTTCCAAAACCCGTGTGGCTCAGGAGCAGCTGT